GATACCGGCCCAGAGGGCTCCTCTTTGTTGAGAGGATCCAGGATTAAAACCATTCTGGGCGTCTTCCCTGTAGGAGGAAAAAACACCCTGTCACAACTGTAGGAAGTTGTCCAGAAAAGTGCTGGTCTTCTCACGGCCTTGAGAAACCACCAGTCAAGAAGGCCGGCTATCGAACAGGAGGAGACCGAGGGAGAGATGTTAATAACACACCGCCAGGAAGGCAACAAACCAGGGGAGGCCATTCAATCAAGCCCATCCAGTTCGATCCCTTACGTGCTGGGGTTACTGGTCATACTGGGAACAGCCAGCCCACCAATCAATCCCAATCTGGTCATTTACGTGTCTATTAAGATGAAATGAGTTTAAAAAATAATTAATAGTATTTAGGTTAAGTGTGTAAATGGCAAAATTATTTGATCAATTCTTACAGTTTTTTTAGATGTGTCTTCATGAAAGATTTGAACGCGGGGAAAAAATTTGTTGGGACGTTCAGGTGGCAAGACACCGTAAAAACGAAACGCAAAAAAAGTTCAACTACCAGATCTGAGGTGATTGAAGTCCAAGGGCACAATTATTACAGTAAACCCTTTGTTTAACGGACTAATGAGAGGAAGGCAAATGGCAAATGTGTTAAATTAAAAATAAGATTTTTTTTTTCAGTTCAAAATGCATTAAAATCGAGAAACATAAATGTATACATTTTACATAAGCTTCCAGATCTTTAGCCTTACTTTTTAAGACTTACAATCAACCTTTAATGACAATTGTTCCTGGGCCTTTTTCTCATGAAATACAAGCTCTTTATTTCAGGTGTAGTAAAAACATTGTATAAAAAATTTGCTAAAGCATACGAAACAATCATAAGCAAATGTTCTCCCACTATAGAGCACCAACGATATTCCTGAAATTAAAACCTATGAGGAATACACTACTTTTACCTTATTTTATTTGTGCATTTTCTAAAGCTTTAACATACTGTTAGCATTTTAATTCTTTTTTTAATGATTGTCTTTGAAAAGTCTGCAAAAGCATAAGAAAAGCCAACACCCATCGTAAGGAATATGCCTGCCCCTTTAGGCACTATTGATATTCATGTTTTTAAGAACTGTTTAAAGATATGTTGTAAGAAAGATGTAAAAAAGTTTGTTGTCTGGACTAGCTGCTGTTTTATTAATGGAGGAAAAGTCTGGTATTTTCTGATTTAACACACAAAATCCTCCTCGATTAAAGCAGAATCCGTTAAACAGAGGGTTTACTATACTCTACCATTTTTATCCTACAAACAGTATTTGGATAATCATGCTACAACTATAAGAGCATGAGAGCCAAAATCAACTAAGAAAAAAAAACTCTAGAGGACAAACACATTTCCTGCAGAATGAATCACAACTAGGTACTGACAATGCAGGGCCAGATGTGGCATCTATTTCCAGTGTGAACACTGGGACAGGAAGTGGTAAGCGGGCACAGGAAGTGAAGTGGGGGGGAGACAACTCAGACGCCCATAGCTAACTCACCCCTGACATTCCTCTCTTCAGGAAACCACATTCCAAACAACTGCCCACTTCCTCCCCTCCCCGTCAGCCCACTCCCCCCGACCGGGGGAGAGGGAGAAGTTCAGTACTAGAGCAGTGGCTGTACAGAAACCCGACACAGATCGCTTCACAAACAAAGTCATGTCAGATCCCAGGAGCCCTGCTCCTTCCTTACAAGAGGGAGTTCGTCTAAATATGAAAGATGCCTTGTCCATCTCCTCAAACACACCCTTCTGCTCCAGAATTTTCCTCCAAAACGAATAGAATTTGTCTAGTACAGCTCTTGGAAAACTAAAATACAGGGTTCACTGCCAACAAGCACAAAAAAGAAATCTGTGGTGACAGTACTTGGAGGCTGCAATCTTTTCAGGTTTACTTTAGTATTACCACGTCAAAGCCTTTAACTACTAGTAGTAGTTTTCTATGAAAAAAAAAAGCTTTTTTTTTACTGAATTACGCTAGCATATTATAGTATACTATTATAGAGTATTCTTTTATATCGTATGATACTTTGTAACAATACGATTTTGTCCTGCAATAACCTGGAAAAATCTTTTTGCAGGGATTTGCATGCTCACAGGTATCGGTCTTGTGCCTCATCTGCAGAGCTACAGATAGAAACCAACATTGTTAACACAAATCACAGAAGCACTTGTTTTGTATACATTCAAAAGTGCCCTTGGCAGGCCACTCACTTCCTGCTGACCACTGGCCACAGTCCTGGTAGGAGTTAAGATTCACGCAGGTGCACAGTGCTTCAATCTGCGCTTCTGAGGTGAGGTTTCGTGCTGCTCATGAATGAACCTCCAAATGAGATCTACCTTTTCCGACTGGAATGTGTATTAGCAGATATAACTATCACTGCTGATCAAACGTAACTGCAAAAAGGGGCTTCCTGAGTGCCAGCTGTATTGGGGTCTTATTATAGGTGGGTACCTGCAGTTCCACAGGGGCGATTCTGACTTCAGCCCCCACAGGAACGTTTGCTTATCAGGCCCCGAGAACTCCACTGCAATCGATTTGCATAATGGGCAAAAGAGCATTGCAGTGCACCAACAATGGAATATTAGTTCTGCATCTTTCTGCCAAGAAACAAAACATGCACTAGATACTAGATACACTTAGTACCTCCTAATTGTTTTGCAATTTGCTTTTGATTTCTCTGCTGCAGGAGAAATGGTGTTGTCAACAGCTGCACACAGATCACTCCCAGGTCCACAGACTTTCCAAGCACAGCTGTCCATACAGTGGAAACCCAGCAGGAAGTACCTGCAAAGGTGTCGGAGGACTTGGGCGTCGAACCACAGGGATGAATTACTAGCACTGCCAACGCAGGAGTACAGCCTACACTTCAAGGCAGTCGCGTGTAAGATCTCCAACGGGCCCATTTCAAACTGCACACACACGTCTCATTTTTCTAACTGGTAGTTTTCTAAATTATAACCTGCGCCACGCTGTGGTTCAGTGAAACTGCTCCAGCTCTTTCCAGCTCGCTCGCTGGATTCCTGCGGGTTTTCAGATCCCCTCCTCCTGCTCTCTCCACAAGTCCCACGAAGCAACAGACAAGAGAGCTTCCCTGTTCCCCGTATTCAGCAATATTTAATTTGGGCCTGTTAAACCGCCAGTCAGAAATTGCAGGGTGGAAGTGCTGGAGAGAGGAGAATAATGTATTTTTGGTCAATATTCAAGCACTGTGTGCTGAGAATGGACTGCTTTAGCACAAATTAATGACATGGTGCAATGGAACACACTGAATTGAATGGCCGGGGAAGTACAATTGAAACAATAGGGCTAGAAATGTTTTAACCTTTAAATGCACCAAAACAAAATGTATAAAACGGCTCCATCACTGCTCGGTAGCCACAGAACATTAGCACTAAACAAAATTTAAAAAATAACTTTCATTAAAAAGCATAACTCTGCATTAAAGGTATTATGGGGGTAATCTGTAAAGCATTTTCAATTCAAGCTGGTTTAACACTGATACTTTTCCCCAGGTCATTTCCTGGCTGGAAGAGCCGAAGAAAACGGATGCACTGCTACTGCGCTGTCCTCTTCTGCTCACCAAAGGACACTTGGCCTCTACAAATCCAAACATCTGGCTCAGCGGTTTTGTGATGCTCCGATGAAACTAAGCGGTAGGCAAAAAGCAGCAAGTGCTGTGTGCATAAACTACTTTATGTACCTTCAGTACACAAGCCCATTCAAAGCAGCCTGTACATAACCAAACAGATTTGCACCGCTTTGGCATCACTAATTAATTGCTTTTAACATGTTCAATAAATATAGAACACAAACTCAGCAGAGGCAGCAAATGAACACTAAAGATAGCATATAATTAGACAAACAGGAAAAAATACAAATTACTGTGAACACTAAGATATTAGCTCTGCATTTAAGGCAGAAATGTTTATCACAGGTGCTTGTAAAATCACCTTCGGGGAGTCTGAATAATTCAGAGAAGCAAGGCTGCTGGCGTTTGTTTATCTGGGAATAAACTGGTGCTAAATAAACCTGGCTTCTTATCTGGCACAGGCTTACCTATTGTTGGGTTTCCATGCAGGAGACTAAAAACAGTTCATCAATAATTCAGGCTACTAAAGAGAAACAAAAATAACAAATGCAGCGACAGAAGGGAAATCTGATTCATCAGCGAGCCGAGCCAGTCTTTCACCACTCCCATGTGTCTCCCTGTTCAAGTCACATAGATCAGTGCACAATCGGCCCATCAGAAGCACTTCAGATTCACTTGTTGCCTTAAAATATCTTAAAACAGTTTTGACGTGTATGCAACACGTACACGCAGACACTCTGCAGTCTTGTGGCACATGAATAAAGGAGCAGTTAAGTGCCAATTCAAACCCATCTCCCCCCGGGTTTGGAGTGGAAAACGAGTCGAACGTAAGCAAGGACTAACCATGTGAGTAAAACGGTCCACTCCAGCAGGAGACGGGCAGAGAAGGGCCAGACAGGGCAGCGGTCAAAGATGCTCGGGACTTTGGGACTGTTTCGGACAGTCTTCCGAGGCAGAAACGGACAGTTTTAAAGCGATCGTGTCTGTCTTGCCACAAGAGCTCTCAATGTTGGCTTGGAGGTCTATATACAAGAGAGCATCCTGGTAGCCATCCTGTGCCCACTGAACCTCACACTGCCCAGTGTGCTTCTCACTCCTCACACTTAACGTCACCCAAGCCATGGGGAGCACGTCCTGTCCTTCTCACTCTGTCCGGGGTGTCACGCCAGAAGCTGTATTTGGGCCGATGCAGTTATGGCACTTTGAGAACGGATTTAAGCCATGCAGGAGCGAGCCAGGTCTGGGGTGAAGGGATGAGGCTGGAGCAGGTGTCTCAGGGCCTCCTCGGGCTCTTCCCTCTGGACTGAACGTCACAAGCTCACGCCCAGATCTGGGTGCGGACTTACTGCCCAACAGAATGACGAGATGTCCTGCCCACACTGCAGTAAGTAAAGACCCAGAGCTGGTGGTGTTATGATTGAAATATCCCAAACAAATAAAAGTCAAACCCATCAGTCCAACCCAATGACGTGAACATGAATATTGAAGCGAATGCACCTTCTCAAACTGCTGTTGGACAGTTTTCCTTCTGAGAAAGGTAATAATAAAATAATAATAATAATAATTGCTTACAGTTATATAGCGCTTTTCTGGACACTCCACTCACAGCGCTTTACAGGTAATGGGATCTCCCCTCCACCACCACCAGTGTGCAGCCCCACCTGGATGATGCGACGGCAGCCAGAGTGTGCCAGAGCGCTCCCCACACCAGCTCTCAGTGGGGAGGAGAGCAGAGTGATGAAGACAGTTCAGAGATGGGGATTATTAGACCATGATTGGTAAAGGCCAATGGGAAATTTGGGCAGAACACCGGGGTTACACCCCTACTCTTTTCGAGAAACGGCCTGGGATTTTTAATGACCACAGAGAGTCAGGACCTCGGTTTTACGTCTCATCCGAAGGACGGCGCCTGTTTACAATATAGTGTCCCCGCCACTATACTGGGGCATTAGGACCCACATGGATCACATGGTGAGCACCCGCTGCTGGCCCCACTAACACCTCTTCTAGTAGCAACTTTAGTTTTTCCCAGGAGTCTCCCATCTAGGTACTGACCAGGCACACACCTGCTGAGCTCCAGTGGGTTGCCAGTTGTGAGCGGCAGAGTGATATGGCTGCTTGAGATTTAGATCAGCTGCCTAATTTATTACAATGAAAGAAGCATGACCTGAAATGATCAGAAATGCTCAGATGCAGACTCCCCCTTCAAGTAATCCTTGTTAAAAGCACTAAATGCTGAGAAGGGGTCCTTACCTGCTCTCTGCAGCTCTCGGTTTTGGGTATCCTGACTGCGTAGCTCTCGGATCTGAGCTCTGATTCGCTGCCTCTCCTCCAAGCTTTCCTGTTCTGGGTCCTGCAAACAACAAGAGCAAGAGATCTCAACACCGGCTGGCTCCTACGACAATCTGTCTTTTTCATGAAGTGTTCAGAATGCCGCAAAGACGTATTGCATATCATTAATTGGACTGAAAAGGAAGGAAATGACACTTAATTTCACAGTTTTACAAGACCCTTTCCTTTAAAGAATTAAGAACGTATGTAAAAAGAAGAGACTTCGCTTGCTTAGCGTATGAGCATCTTCCACTGCAACTCAGATGGTTTGCAGGGTTTCTACAATGAAGTAAGACCCAGAGAAGCCTGAAGTGCGAGTTCTGCGGACTCATCCACTTAAAAAAGAAACCCCCAGCCTGGCTGATGGGCAGTCAGGTACGTCCATCCGTCCTGAGAAACGCCATTCAGACCGATTCAGGTCAGTACCCTGGGTTGTCATGACAATGCAGTTCAGCACACTCCTTACCGAAGGGCTGCTATAGGAGGAAGGAACGAGCTACTCAGCCACCCCAGTACCCTGTGCTCCTTCAAAAAAAGGCCGCTAGCTAATTGATCTGAGGATCACATCCATATGACCATCAGTACCATATGAGCTAGATGGGGCGAACAGCACCCTCTTTTTTGTACCTGTTCTTCCGATTCTACAGGCGAATGAATTTGGGGAACAGAGTGGGGACTCGCGCAATATGCACGAGAAGAGTGACCTCAGTGACCTCTGTCCATAACAGCATCTGGTATTTTATCTGATTGGAAGTGTAATCAACACAAACAGTGGCTTTGTCCAACTATCCCAGGCCTTTTATTCTAGAGCTTCTGCAAATGTGAAATAAAAACATTGAGAACTTATAGAGCATTTTTTCTTATAGCATATCCATACATTTACAATATAAAAAAACTGCACAATATCCTCATCTAACAATTGCATCGAAGGTAATATGTAGAAGACTATTCTGCGTATACATAATCTTTTCATAAACACAAGATTATTAGGTTTAAGAGTTTAGTAGAACGTGTGAGTAAATAATTTTCTTGTAGGTAAGCAAGCTGTTCTTTTAGTTAATTTAAAAATTCAATGTCCTCTTACAGAAAAATCATTTAAATTCTATACAAGATCATCAGTTGCACAGATGGACTGTACTTAAACCAGGTTTAGCATCTTTGCAAACCTCACAAGATTAAGTGGTTAAAGATCCTTCTTTAAGCAGACCGAGACCTAAGTGGAAGAAAGATGGCCATACAGTATGTGACCTACCCCTCCAGAATCCTCATTTATTTAAGGCACGTCAGAATCAGCCAGAGCCTGTTCAAGGGCAGACAGCAAAGCTGGCAGGCAAACAGAATGGAAATTGTACTGGGAGACGGCTGAAGGAATCACAGAGGACCTGCAGCATGCAGTCATCAGATTCCCCTCCCACATCCAGAAAGATGCCAACAGGGAACCACTTTCTACCTCTTTCTCTCTATTAAATCAACGACCAGACACTTGCAATTTACAGAGCGTGTGGTACAGCATTGCAGATGGTCAAAACTCAAGTCAAGCAGCAGCTCTTGTCAATGTGCATGCTGCACAGACAGCTGACAGACCCCTGTGGTGTGCAGGAAAGACCCCATGAGGTAATCTCACTCTTTCAAAAGAACGTGGATTCCGAAAACAATGGTGATTGATGCCGTGAGAACAACCTCCTAGTGACTGAAAGAAAGCCGAGTGCTGATTCACGTACAGATCACACCTCAAGTCTGCAAGAGAGCTGGTGACAAGGTCACACACTTCACCGTTCTCTTACTCCTGTGGCACAAGAGATAAGAAACCCTCAAATGATTTAAACGTCTCTCACGTCAGTTTGGAGAGCTGGTCTATTGACTGTTCTGCCCCAGGCAGTCTTCCCACAGCGTGAGGCATAATTACAGCTGTTTGGTCTCCTGTGCGTGAACAGAACTGCTAAACAAACAGGAACGCCCCAGTGTTTGGGGCGACAGACAGTCCCATATGGAGAGGGTCAGTGGCTGAGCCTTCAAACACTGTCCCGCCCACAGAGGACCATGGGATAGCACCCCAGCAGGGCTGACTCATACTCCAACTTCCTCAGGAACTGGCTCCTCGCCAGCCTCTCTCCGAAGCTCCAGACTCCTGTAACTCATCACACCGAGGAGCTGTCTGGACGTCACACTTCACCCCTGCAGCCAGCACAGTCAGTGCACACGTCACACGCTGACGCCTTCACGGCATCACTCAATCTGCGCCACATCCGCGCACTGACGGGCAGCAGGCAGATTAAAACTCAAAAGAGCTTAAAAGAAGAAAAAAAATTAACTGAGAGTTTAACTGGCATTACAGATGACTTAGTGTTGCTAAAGCAAGAACAGTAAGCAAAAGACGTACTGTCTTTCAGTCTCTCATTTACTGATGCAGTTTGTCTTGGTCATCCACGAAGGGCAGGCTGGGTAGCCAGCTTTCCATTGAAGAGCAATTTAAAGTTGAAAAAATGTCATGGTTTTGTACAAATACCACCGATCACTTACATTTTCTGTGCAAATTTACAAAAAATAACCAGAGCAGGAAGTATCCAGCACTTATGGGCTGACAGCCTAAAGGCCATACAATCTAAAAACGATTTCTTCTCTCAGATGGGTCCTTTTTTGTATCTCCTTCCTTTTAAGGGGTGTGGTCAGTAGGTCACTTTTTGACAGGTACAGCCAGGTCACTCACCAAATGCACAGTCAACAAGTTCCCAGCTTCTTTAATCTTCCAAACTCAACAGAACACTAAATAACTAGTGGCCAGCTGTGCTGATTAAATCAAAGATGAGCAGATAACAGCAATCAGAAGCCATGCATTCTTTCAATTCCTGTCTCCCACTCCCCTCAGTAGCGCCTTATCTGCAGACTCCCATACAGGCAGTCCTGCAGCAAAACACAGCGAATCTCCCTCCCAGAGCCCTCTGATGGGATTAAAGCGAGTTCCTGTTGGATAGGAGCCATCTGATATGGCTTTAAGGTACTGATAAAGTTTAAAGTAGAACACAAGTGATGTTGTTTTTATCAAAGCTCTAGATTTCATTTTTGTTAAATAAAAAGATCTATCAGAGATATATTCATGCTGGTGGACTATGTATCAAAGCAGACAGAACCTTCTCTTGTAATACATAAGGGAATGTTTTGTCTCATTGGTCTGACAATTAAGACTGTTTTTCCCCCCCATTCTTAATTTGAACCAAATGGGCAACACCAGGAAAATTACCAGTGGAGTCTCGAGGGTTAATTAACCATGTTAATTAACCGCCTTCTGTACTCATGGTGTTTTGAACAACGAGATCCGTGCTCGCAATCTATGTGCCCAGATACACAAAACTGATGCCACTGAAATGCATAACTTAATTTAAATTCTACACTTTTAACTAAATATTCAGATGCATGGCTAAAAGTTCTAAAACTAAATTCCAGGGGGTGATATGCTGAAACTTTATAATTCACCAGTAAGTCCTCATTTACTAAATTGTGTGCAATGCTGGTCAATACATTATAGAAAACGCTGCTCTGGAATCCATCTAGAGAACTACAACATTGCAGATACTGTACATCCCAGGTCTTAAAGATAAGCCCCACACTGACAGGCTGAAGGAACTAGAGCTTTTTAGCCTTGAAAAGACAATTATGGTAGGATCTCAAAGAAGTATTTAAAATCCTCCAAAGTCTTGAAAAGCAGCTCAGGGGGTTTCTTCAGAATGACCAGTGGAAAGGGAAATCTGCATGGCAGTGTTTTTGAAACAGGAGGTCTTTCTCTAAGCGTTGTGGCAGTTTGAAACATTGTACCATACCATGCTGTTCAAGCCGATACCCTGGCTTCTTTCAAGAGCTGATGTGGGCATTCAGCCAAGATCAATATCATCAAGATCATGGCAGCCACGTTCCCAACACACAGCTGGGAACAGAACTGGCCCTCTCCCTGAATTTACTACAGTGACTAAAGCCTTGCAGTCTGCCCAAACCCACTGTCTCCTGCTACACATCCGCATTATAGCTATTTACTTGTGTCCTCATTCAGAATTGACTCCACAGATTTGCCTTTTCACTGTGAGCACAATGATCAAGGCTTTATCAAATTCTGGTCTTGCAAAAGTCAGAAGAAAGAATAAAGCACACACATCATCTTATCCAGCACTGTGAATATCTACTTATAAAACACTATTTAAAAGAAAAAACACTTTTTAAAGTATTAAATGTAACAGAAAAAACTGCAACTCATAAGAGGGAATCAACTACAGGAGAAAAGTGTCCCACAGAAGAGGGAGCAGGTCTAGACAAACAGTAGAGCAGACCTGGCTGAGCTGTGAATTGCTCAAACTATTATTACACTTACTAAGCTGTGACTGAACACTGTCGGTACCTGCCATAAGGATTAATCAGGGTGGAATACGCAACACATCCCTCTGCTACCTCTCATCGCCATTAATTTACCATTTATTGGGCCTACAGCTAAGGGATTACAGATGGTAAATCCTGCAATATCCAATACTGTTTTTTAACTCGTACAACATGCTTGTCAGAGCTGAAATGAAGCCCAGCACCACTGGCATCACGTGTAGAGCTCATCGGAAGTCTCTCTAACCTCCTCAGCAGTAACCTTTAGAGCAGCTCAGGGTGTAACCCTGCACATCACATGGTAATCCAAGCTGCACTCAGTTTCAGGGGTAGATCATACCGTAATTGACAAATCAATGAAATATCAATTAGAATAACAAACTTAAAGACACACCACTGAGTAAAAGTAAACTGTCATTTGCACCAAACTACTACAGCTGTTAAGGTTACTGTAATTGTCCAAAATATATAACAAGTTTTTTAAATTACAGTTGATGAACTTGCGCACACCCATTTCTATAACCTGATTATGACCACTGGAACAGGGTTAGAACGCTTGAGAAATTGAGGGTCGCATGCACACCACTGAGGAGCTAAATGGAAAGGCATAAACACGTAACGTAGCATGCCATGCCTTAGCCTAAATTAATTCACTTAAAAATTAAATCACCTTAGATTACAAGCACAGGCTACAGCAAGAGTCCGTTTAAGAGCTGCACATATACTGTCTCCCTGTGAAAGCTGTGTTTTTTTATATGGCATGACTCTGGAAAAGAACTTAAAGCAAGAGGCTCCCTAAAAACTGATTTTACTGATCACAAAAGACTAAAAAAAGCTAAAAAAAATTAAAAAGACAAAACTAGAAGCTAGATAGCAACTTAAGATAACTTAGGAATAGTTCAGTGGTACCTTAAAAACATAGGATTTTGCAACCAATCCTGCTGTTTCAGTTCAGAACAAACTTCGATAAGTCCACTTGCGAAGAAGTTAAAAGCTTTTTCCAAAGCTTATCAGATAATCTATTCACAAAAAAACGACCAAAACAAGCCAATTCTGTTTGAGCCAAGTATAGCAGTATACATCACTGCAAGAATGAACAGCCCCAGGAAAGCCAAGTAGCAGACAGTACATAAAGGAAACCACATATTTCATTTAACCTCAAGCAATTTCACAACAGGAATAATAATGGAAATGGCATATTTGGTCAAACAGCTTATTGCTTTCAAAATCACTTATTAAAAAAGTGAGATCCGGGTGATGAACAGACATTACAACTATTTCTATTCGATTGTTGAGCCTGATAAGCCTGTACCACACATTTTGAGAAATGAAGGGCATCAATTAAAATCACCCCACACATACTGCTTTTCTTTAGACACTTGTATGTCCAGCTTGCTAAAGTGCTCCCAGCTCTCCATTGTTTCAGTAAATTAACTCCCAGTGAGTCTAGAGACTCTCTCCTGTGACAAGGGACTGTATACAAGACTGTATTCCTGCAATTCCTGTAGTAAGTAGAAAAGTGGGTACCCACCTCAGTGTGCCTGTTCCCATAGGCTCAGTGATCTCATAGACAGAAGAGCTCCCTCTCAGCCAGAACACGCATTACTCACTCTTTCACACGCTCGCTCACACATGCACAGGGCCAGCCCCTCCCCTCGGCTCTGGGCTCTGCCCTCCCTCTCCCTCTCCGGTCTGCTTCACGACAGCACAACAGGAAACCAGGCAGCTTTAACTTCGGTTTAACTCAAGTCAACCTTTTATTTTAAACTCTATCTACTCTGTAAACCAAAACCAGGAACAAATCTTTGCTGGACTACATTCCAGAAGGAATCTGTCAATACTACTATGAGATATTAGGTGGGAAAAAAAACCTAAATACTATTTTATATTCTTCTCATTGTTCCACAAATACCCCCTTTAAAGACACTTAGTTCCTGGTGGACAGCTCAGAGAACATGGGTCGGAGGATTTAAAGACATTCTTCATGCAGTACGTGACCATCAAAAACTGTTATGGAAACCAAGGTTTTCACTTCACAGTTACCAAGCTTCTCTAATACACAGTTATACTGGTAAAACCAATTAGATAAGCTTGCTTTTAAAATCTTCACCTTACAGCCAGTGAAAATGCTCTTTTCTCTGGGTTTTGTGGGACCTGGTCATTTTGAAGAGCACTAGGGAAAACCAGGAGCAGAAGGTAGGAAACTGAAACTCACTTATATCTGAATTTTCTGAAACGTCTTTTAAATTGCAGTGTTTATGAAACACTTTTTCTCTCCTTACAGCTGCTAGGAGCCTGTAGTCCGCCCTCCTTTGTCAAGACCCCATCCCAACACTTCCGGACTTCAAACTTTCAACTGCTGTCGGATGTCCACTATCTTTCCCGATCAGTCTGCTGCTTGCCTCCCTTCTCCTCTTCCTTCGGAGGTCAGCCTTTAAGATCTCCGCTTCTCCACTTCCTACAGGATCCAGGATATTCTGGGTAACTGTAATGTTATTGTTCACTTGAGAAGTGCTCCCTTTCCAACAGCAATCCATCTGTACACTGACCCGAGGGACACAAGCACTGCCGCCTGCGATGAGACACAGCAGCACCACAGTTAAAATGACCAGAGCTGCGTGACTTGCGTGTCTGTTGGAGAATGGAAGCTGCTCGCCACAAAATCACCACATTACACAGATACTGCAGATGCCCCCTACTGGCTGGGTGTGACAAACCCACACCCCTGGAATGCCCCACTGGTCTGAGATAGTTCAGAACCGCTAACGGCGGAATTAACCTCACTGCTGGACATTAAGAGGTTCACATGTTTACAGACTCTACTACAGCGGCTCAGCCGTAGCAGTTTTCTGCAAATGAGCTGCTCTCTGTGTTCTCCCACAGTAACCCTGTAGGTCAGGAGTGATGTCATAACACTGGTTCCAGAGCGAGAAGCCTGCAGGGAAAACAATACCAGACCATCCTGAAACCTGCCTCCAGCAGCTTGTAGTACTACTGCAAGAGCTGTGTGGTTTGTGAATCATTAGCAGGATTTATGACCATCCCTCCAGGTGTCACAAGGAAAACCCCTTCGAATGAGACAGAGCCCTGCAGACGCACCTCTTCTCTGATGAACAAACGGGCAGGCTGCCCACCTGTCTCTCAACGACAGGGTTCCAACATGCTGAAGCGGTTCCCTTACGGACTTGTACAAAACAGAAGAGTTTCACACTTCTTTCAACACATTCTCACTCTCCCATCAGCAAATCTCAAGTTTCTAGAACAGGCTGCACAGGTTACTTCAATTAAGTCCTGTAATAATCTCTGGTTCACCTCGGTGTTAATGAGCAGGGCACTACACATGCCACATCAATGACAACAGCTCCCATTCCCAAACGGGTGAGGTCATGTTCCCATTACTGGGCCTTGTAGTGCTCATCCTCTGCTCCCTCTTCTATCCTTCTATCCAGGTGGGGCTGCACACTGCTGGTGGTGGAGGGGATCCCCATTACCTGTAAAGCGCTTTGAGTGGAGTGTCCAGAAAAGGGCTATATAAGTGTAAGCAATTATTATTATTAATTATTATCCTCGGCACAAGAGGTGTAGAAGAGCACTGCTTAGAGCAAGAGGACAAAAAATATCCACCCTCCTGTTCCCCTGGGACCCCCATCACTGCAGGCTCAGGACCACTCCTGCACCTCTTGTCGTGCAAGTTAACACCGAGGACACGAGCGTGGATTTTAGAAATTCATAATCGCCAATTATTTTTATCAGACCTGCCCAGTTTGGGAACCTGCAGCTGTATGTTTCCCACATGCCTGTCTGCAGCTCTGAGCCCCGTGGCCACACAAGGCGAGAATGAGGAAAGGAACCGGACTCCTCCAGCCTGCCCACCTCTGAGCAACACATCGCCGCCCCCTGCGCGGGCAGCACTCCGCACAGCTGCGGGACCTGGGAGGCCGTCTCCACAAGAGCCCCAGCCCACACACCCCACCCTGCCCTCAGGGGCGGATATCCATTGGGGAACCCCGGTCACAGTCCGCTAGCACCCAGGCCCAGACCCCCGGTCACAGTCCGCTAGCACCCAGGCCCAGACCCCCGGTCACAGTCCGCTAGCACCCAGGCCCAGAGCCCCGAGCAGGCGAGCACCTGGAATGGCTGAGCTGCACAGAAGGCCCCTGAGCAGATAGTTCACAGGGAGCACGCAGCATCGCGGGGGGGCCGACACGTCACAGCCTGGAGCAGCATGGTTCTGCGTTTCTCAGTCTCTTAGTGTCGTGTCTCTGTCCTGGAAGCTATATTTACATTAGGTTTTTTTTCCCCCCCATTTAAAAATGCTACATTATTGTTAAAGGCCTCTGCAATCATAACTTTCTTATGAATGAAACAATGCATTCAGAAGACTTGTCTTTACACAAAGAGCTGCGGGAGTGTGCAACAAGCTATCCCCAAGGCTCCCGCAGGAAACAGAGATAAATGAGATGAAATCGCCACCTCCTATTTGAACTCACGGCCTTGCCCTGTGAAAGCCTGTTATACTGCCCATGTCCACAGGAGGGCGATGGATTCAAACATTTCTTCCACATTGGGCAATTCCTGTGGTTCCAACTGCATATTGACAGATGGTTAAGAAACAAACAGACCACTATCTGGGTTTCTTTTACATAAACAACATTTAAATAACAGACATGACAGTAATGACCAGCTAGATCCTATTTACTGTCATCAAATCTACTCCCCTGGAAAAGCTCACAGTTCACTGTGGTTTACGAGTGAAGAATAAACATCTTCTGGGCCCTGAGCTTCGAACAGCTGAGTGCAGCCCAGAGAGGTTCCAAACACTGCTCATTTTTGTCTATACAAGACAACATCAATCACTCCCAACACAACGTTTTTTCCTGCAGTCTTACACACCATTAGAAAATGTAGCTTTTTAAATGCAGTACAAGCTGATACCAAAAAAACTTTTACATTACACTTTCTGTGAACTGTATTATTGCCAAGTAAGCTCCTCAGTTATATGGATAAATGAAATTACTGTTCATTTCCACTTACTCCGATCACAGGAAATTCTATTCCCTTGTTTCACTTGGCAAGAGAATAACCAGTGACAGCCCTTTGCTAACCCTCGTGTGGCTGCTCAGAAGAGTGTGCTGACTACATGTAGGCTCCAAAACCAAGCTACCCCAGAAAGTGCAGGTCTCCTCGCTTTGCCAACTGAATTCAACCCCATTTTCAGCATGTGCCAATCCAGACCGGCTCTGCTGGATGAGACTGAATTAACACAGGGCTTCGCCTGTGCCCACCCCAAGGACAGCAGCCTGAACTTTAACTAGATGCATTTAAGAATAAACTGTCTACCATGATGAGCAGCACATTCTAAAATAAATGCCTAATAAGACCACATCACCAAACAGATGTATTGCAGGAGCAAGCCGGGCATTACTGCGGCCTGTTACTTGTTAAACAGTGAAGGAGCAGCAGATGGTGACAATAAGTTGCATCACAGCTTGTCATATCCAAAGGCCTCTTTGTATTATTAGCTACTGTACACAATGAAACCACAGCAGCCACGTGGATGGAATCATAAAGATCAGGCACAGTGGCAGGAGAATAAGGACACGTTTTCAGTAAGCCTGATCCCAGGAGCAGATCCTGGCAGATTCATCCAGAAACCAGGCGACTGAGCTCATTGCAGTCTGGCCTGGAGGCAGAACCTTACTGAAATCTTACATAAATACCACAAAAACAGGGAAAGTGTTAATTGCAAGGTTGGACACCTTCCCTTGAATTTTAGATCCTCATATTGTTTGGGTTACCACTGCTGGGAAAGGAGGAGAGCAAATCTAATGCTCACAACCGGGGTCACTTTCTTGCAGCACTGTCTCCATGAGGTGTTTTCACCCCAACATGTGCTACTGTGGTGGACTCCCTTCACATTCTCTCAGTTTAAACAGAGGTTCAGTTCCTTCTCCAGCAGCACACATTAACACTGATAATCAAGCCCAGTTCAAACAGGAGTGACCTTGTAATGGTCAAGTTGTCAAGACGCCGCTCCCTGCTTACCCGTCAACGGTACAGGAATGTATAGATTGAGCAATCAATGAAGACATCAAGGAATGGAAACTCGCTAATAAGGGTTTCAGTTTTCCCCAAATCCCCTAAATACTCAGTAAATAAAATCACGCTTCACTTTATTTTCCATTGGACTTAAAGCTTGTTTTTAAAATAGCAGTGTTTTAACACAAAAGTTTCCCTCCCCCCCACCATAGTTTGGTTGTATCAAGTCCATTTGGAATCGCTAATTTTTTTCCCCATGTCTGAGCAACAATCCACAGGTCTGTAATGCGTTAAGGCCCCAGCCCTCTACCGGAGACACAGCTCTGACTGGAGGAGAGGCGTGTTCCTGGCGTGGCCCAGGTGCGCTGGGACTCTGGACATGACCGCAGAGCTCAAGTAAGTGACTTTACCAGCTGAGCCACTGAACTGCTGGCTCTGAACCCTCTCAATTCTCAACACCCACAACGCCACTGAACACACGCACAGCCAGAATCCAGCACCGTCCGGGAGAGCAGCTCTATGACCAGAACGTGATCAAGTGGA